ATTAAAAATCAATTTTGACTGGTCTAGCCCATCATCAAGCATATTTTATCCTCCTGGTAAATAATTGGTTAAGACCCAGGCACATAAAACAATTTGGATTAATTAGATGCACGGGATCTGATGGACGATTTCTAGAAAAAAAAATCTATGGCTGCTGGATATTATCATTTCTGAATATAATCTCTGGAATGTATTTATTTCAGAATGATGAGATTATGATTTTCTCTTTGTACTTTTCCTTTTTCCCCAAAAATTCCACAAAAAGCAGTTTTTTTTTCTGCAAAATATAAAATTTTTAAAAAGCATGAGAAGATATTTACTTGATTATTCTGGTACTGGTCATGATGGAGTAATAGGAAGAGGACTCATCTTATCACCAGATTAAAAAAACTAAAAACGAAACCCCAAATTGGACGAAGCCTGTGAAGGAATGGTTTTATAGAGATTAGACAATAGTCAGTGCAGCACTGTGATCTCTGAAAGAAGGAAAACAAACCAGGTAAACATACCTAGAGGCAGCTTCCAGGCTGTGAAGCAAAGCAGGCATAGGGAGGGAATCCAAACAAAGCATGGCAGTCTGAGTTGAAAAGTCACAGACTATAGTCCAGAATGCCAAGGAAATTAGTATTTCCAGGGCAAAATACCAGAGTGGTAGAAGCTACAAATCAAGAGAACTCAGGAAAACTTCAGAAGGTTCTCACTGAATACTTGGCTGGGTACTAATCTATGCATATATGAGAAGAAAGTACCCAAGACTGGGGAAAGAACCACCAGAAATAAATAGGCAGAATAATTTACGGAGCTTTTACAGAGCTGGGCATATTTTGTATGCCCACCAGCCAGAATCGAAAGGTCTCCTGATAGGTGGTGGGACATGAGGTAGAATCCTTCAAAAGGTGTTCTGGATTTGGGGTTAATAAGACCTAGATAAAGAGTGGCTCTGGACCCAATAAAAACATAAAAGCAAGAGTTGAAAAATTCCAACCAATCCCATATAATGTAAATGCGAGTCACGACAAAAATCTAACACTATTTAAAGGAATGTAACAAAACACAGCACCAATAACATAAAATATTAGATGTCAGATATCAGAGCTTCCCCACGTGGTCCCCCCACAAGCTGATCTGGGTTTCCTCACATTGTGGAGGCCTCAAGGTAGATGGACTTTGTTAGCAGCAGCTAACAAAGGTGATGGTGGCTGCACTACCTTTTATGATCTAGCCACTTAAGTTAAAACAGCCACTTTTGCCACACTCTATTGGTTATGATCAAGTCACAAACTTGCCCAGATTCAAGAAAAGGGGAGTTAAATGTCCCATCTTAATAAGGTAGTGTGAAGGTTCTAGAAAAAGATGTGGGGAAGGCGATACTACTATAGACATCTTTGAGCAATGTAATCTGTCTCATAGATCTGAGTGAGCATCTAGTATTTCCCTTCAGTTGGAAAAACTACCTTTTAAATGAGTTGTAGTGCAAACCTGGCAAACAAATTTTCTTAACTTCTCTTTACTTGAAATGCCTTTATCGTATCTTGATTTTTGAAGGATATTTTTTACATGACATAGAGTTTTAGGTTCATAGGCCTTTTTGTTTTTCTTTCCTTTCAGTACTTTGAAGATATCCTATTGCCTCCTGGTAACACTGTTTCTGATAATAAGCAGTCATTTTTATCATTGCCTTTCATTATGTAATATGTCTTTTCTTCTCGGGGCATTTTTAAGATTTTCTCTTTATTTTTATTTTTTAGTAATCTAACCATAATGTACTTGGGTGTGGCTTTCTGTTTATACTGCTAAAGATTCATTGAGCTTTTTGAATCAATGCATTAATGTTTTTTATCAAACCTGGAAACAATTTCAGCTATGGTTGAAAGTACTGAATATATTTATATGCAGATTTTTAAAGGCCCTATTATTTTCAACATTTCTGTTATCAGTGGGTCTGTTTCTATTGCCTGTCACTTCTTGTTAGGGGTCACATTCTCCTGTCTCTTTGCATGTTAAATCTTAGCCTTTTGCTGTGAAATTGTTGAGGCTATGTGGTTAAGAGTCTGAAATTTTTTGTGTGTTCCTCATCCTTCAAAGACAGTTGAGTTTTGTCTTGGCAGGCTATTGTTTTATTGGTAGGTTACCTTTATTTTGTTAGGTATCATTATTTGGCTTTCTTAGGGTGTATGAAGATTGGCTCTTACTCTAGAGCTTGAATACTCTTAAGGCCTAACTTTTGGGGGTCTTATTGAGTGCAAGATGATTAGCTGGTCTCTCAACTTTGGTTGGCCAGAATTCCAGTGTCTCTTAGCACTCACAGATCTTCAGTGGCTGTTCTCTGCCAGGCTTCCCAGGATTTTACCCTGCACACAGCAACTTAGTTTTTGACCATCAGAGACTCAAAGGCTCTCTGATGTAGACTTCTAGAGCTACTTCTCTAAACAATTCCTTGCTCTATTGTATCTTGCCCCACAAAAATCCCAGCTGCCTCACCAGCCCTATATATTAATATCTGGTTTTTGTTTTGTTTTGTTTTCTGTGCAAAACCCTGCTTTTGATTTGGGCTCTACTTTACTGTGCAGCTGTTTGGACAGTAAGTAACCCCAGACAGAAAATGAGAGTGAATGTCAGGTTTATCTCGTACATTTCCCATTTCTGAAAGATCACAACTTTGTGCTGTCTACTACCCAATACATGAAAAGAATTGCTTTCTGCATTTTATCCAGTTTTAGAGAAGTTTATAGCAGAAAGGTAATGTTGATAACTGTTACTGTGTGGTGACTAAAACTGGAAGTCTCTAGTAAGTAATTCATTAAAAACAGCATAGCCAATAAAACCTTAATTTCTAGTCATCAAAAGTCAAACAAGAGAAACTAACAGGCAGCAAAAATAAAGAGATAGAGAAAAAGTATTAGCAGACTTTTAGAATTTTCCACTAATTTTTCTTAGAGTCAGAAAAAAATTTCAAGTTGTCATATCATTTTTGTTCATTTTCATTTCTGACAGCACAATGAACATCAGAACACTCTTTATTTCTTCCTTCTTCTTCCTAACCAGAACTAATTTTATGTTCAACTCCAAGGGGATGACTCATGATGAATCAACTATCCTAATAACGATGGTCTTCTATCACTTTGCCAGATAATCTTGTGGCCTCCCTCAAAGGTGGAGGTAACCATGGAACTGTATTATTACCAATGAGACATACGGGGAAGCTTGTTAGGTGTCTCCTGAAAAGGTTTTAATTTTCTTAATAAAAGGACTAAGTGACACTGGCCTCTTTTTCCTGTCTTGAATGTAAATCTCCTCTTTTTTTTAAAAAAATTGAAGTATAGTTGGCATACAATATTAGTTTCAGGTGTACAACATAATGATTTGACAATTACATGCATAATAACAAAATGCTTACAAGTGTAGTTACCATACCACCGTACAAACTTACTACCCTAATAACTATACTCCCTAAGCTCTAATTTTCATCTCTGTCATTTTCTTATTTTTTAAGTAGAATTTTGTATCTCATCTACATCACTTATTTTATCCACCCCTCACTCTCCCTCTGGCGATCACAGTTTTCTCTATTTATGAGTCTATTTCTGTCTTTTTTGTTTTATTTTTAGATTCCACATTAAGTGAACATATATTATTTGTATTTTTCTTTCTGACTTATTTCACTTATAGCATAATACTCTCCAGGTCCATCCATGTTGTTGTGAATGGCAAGATTTCATTCTTTTATGGTTGAATAATATTCTATCCTAGAGATATGTCACATCTTTATCCATTCATCTATCTATGGACACTTAGGTTGTTTCCATATTTAGCTATTGTAAGTAATGCTGCAATAAACACAGGGATACATGTATCTTTTCATATTACTGTTTTATTTTCTTTTATAAATATTTAGATGCAGAATTATTGGGTCATATGCCATTTCTGTTTCTTTTCTCTCTCTCTCTCTTTTTTTTTTTTTTTTTGAGGGAATGTGATCTCTTCTGACTATAATATGTATGAAGAGGAAAAGTCCACACTTCCAAGTATGGCAGAGGAGAGGGAACAAAAAAGTCTGGGCCCTTGAAATATCAATTCAATTTCACTCATAACGTGGAATCTAAAAAACAAAACAAATGAATAAACAAACAAAAAGCAGAATCAGGCCTATAAATACAGAGAACAAACTGATAGTTGTTTGGGGGATGGTAGGATGGGCAAATGTGTGAGGGGAAGTGGGAGATACAGGCTTCCAGTGAAGGAATGAATAAGCCATGAGTATAAAAGGCACAGCATAAGAAATATAGTCAACAATATTGTAATAGCATTGTATGGTGATAGATAGTAGTGCACTTGGAGTGAGCATAGCATAAGGTATAAAGAAGCTGAACCACTATGGTGTATGCCCGAAACATTGTGTGTCTACTAAAAAAAAAAAAAAAAAAAAAAAAGCCCAAGTCCTTGATGACATCACTGAGTAACTAAATCAATATAGCAACCAACTGTCTCCAAGAAAAATAAAACCTATTTTTTAAAATCACTCTAACATTCTCTGTTTCTACCTGTAATAGAAAACATTTCTGACTGGTAAGTGCACACACCTTCGTTCTTTAAATGAAGAAGAGTTTGTAAATAACATGTAAAAATGGTTTTAAAATATTAAAAAAAAAAGTAGTTGGGAACTGTATTCTTTTGAAGGCTTTCGACTAATCAGGTTTTCTTTGATGTGCATTAAATGCATGTCTGCCTTATATCCCCACCCCTGGGATTGCAAACTTGTTTGTGGCCAGAGATCTATATTCTGCATAGGGGCCTTGGCACTTCTGGGTGCTCAAATTAGCTTGCTGATAGGCTATTTCTACACGTCTTTCAAGTTGTCTCTATCATCCAGGTATTCATCAACTCCATCAGGAACAAAGACCCCACAGACCTAAGCTTATCTTTTTCTTTTTTCTTTTTTCATGGGCGTGAGTACACACACAGGTAAAACAAACAAGCAAAGAGATGCTTCACTGTCTTACGTTCACATTCTCTGACATCCAAGTTGAACTGCTGTAATGCTCCCAAGGTGAGTTGTCTTACTTCAGCTTCCAGCAAAAGTTGCATCAAGGATGTGGCTAAATGCTTGCAAGCTGACATACATGCTGTCTGGGCCACCTTTCCCTGAAATAGAAGAGTGTAAATCATAATGTTATTGGACTAAAAGGAAATCCCAACAAAAATTACAATAATTTTTTTCTTTTTTTTTTAAGATTTTATTTGTTTATTCATGAGAGACACACAGAGAGGCAGAGACACAGGCAGAGAAAGAAGCAGGCTCCTCACAGGGAGCCCGATGCAGAACTCGACCCCCGGGCCCCAGGATCACACTCTGAGTCAAAGGCAGATGCTCAACCGCTGACCACCCAGACGTCCCAATAATTTATTTTTCATAATTAGGGATTTCTTTAAGATTTTCTCCAGTATGATATCCTTGGCATTCAATAATCTTGGATTAATAGCACCTGGTGGCAATCATCTTCACTACTGCCTTCATCACCATGAGTTATACAGCTATAACATTAAAATTCATAAAGCCCAGCTATTTATTCAAGAAGCACTTACCCCCCAAAATCCACAGTAGACAAATAATATTCAAAACCTTAATTAAACTAAAAAGGAATTTTTCTTCAGAGGGTAAATTTCAAAGTCCCTTCCAAAATTACTAGAATCCTTAAAAAACAAATGTAAACAAAATTCCCTAATTTATCTAGAAACTATAGTGTTATCAAAGAGGAAGACAAACCATGAGAGACTCCCAACTCTGGGAAACAAAGGATTGCAGAAAGGGAGGTAGGTGAGGGGATGGGGTAACTGGGGGAAGGGCACTAAGGAGGGCACATGATGAGATGAGCACTGGGTATTATACTCTATGTTGGCAAACTGAATTTAAATAAAATTAAAAAAAAGAAACCAGAATGTTTATGGGTCATCCAAGACGTAGACTAGGCCCACATAGGTAAGATAGTGGTAATTCAGGAGCCAACTCTTCAAATACTGAGTATTGGCTGCGGTGTCCTTCTTAACATGTGGCCCAAAGTAAACACCTAGGCCAAGATAGATGCTTAAAGAACCCAACAAGCTGAACATGGAGATGTTGTGAAAATCAAAGAGCTAAAAGCCTGATGAAGCTAGAGGCTGAAGAAGATAGCATTTGAAAGGCTTGTTTCAGCAGCCAAAATAGGTTGCCAAGGAGAAGCAAAACTGGATTGGTAAAATGAAAATAAGATAGCTGAGAGTCAGAAAGTCCCAATCTTTATTCTCTACTACTTACTGGCTGTGTAATTTGGGGTAAGATAGTTGATACTCCTGACTCCTGATTCATCTAAATATAGTAAATGGTTTATTACCCTTAATGTATTAACATGAAACATAGACTTGGCTTTCAAATCCTCATCAATATATATCAATCAAGAAAGCCAAATGCACTTATACATTATCAAATGTTATACTACTCTTAACATATTGAGTTATTTAACTGCCCTCCAACTACTTTCCATTCTACTCCCCTTCAAGCTAATTATTTATTCCTAAACAAAGTGATAATTGCAGAAATGAATGTTTTCAGTGTTAAATATTTTGCCAACTCTAGAAAGCATTTTGGAACTTTGCTAATTCACAGTCCACTACCCATTCTTTTTTCATTTCTGGTTTCCATTACCACCACAGTGTCCATAGGTTTTCTAAGAAAGGATAAACATAGACTCCGTCAAAATCACCAACATATCATGCGAAAAAAAAAAAAAAGGTGGTTTCCCCCTCTTAAGTAATCTTTTAAAAAAAATGCATTTTCTTTTCTTTTTTTTTTAAGATTTTATTTATTTATTCCTGAGAGACACAGAGAGAGAGGCAGAGACACAGGCAGAGGGAGAAGCAGGCTCCATGCAGGGAGCCCGATGTGGGACTTGATCCCGGGTCTCAAGGATCACGCTCTGGGCCGAAGGCAGGCGCTAAACCGTTGAGCCACCCAGGGATCCCCTCCAAAGAATATTATTAAACTCAATTAGAGAACCTGAATAAGTATCCACTCATTAAAATCATGCATAATTCCCCCCATTCTAAACAAACAACAGCTTAAAAAAAAGGCCCAAGGATGATAGTCAAAATATCCTGGACAACATATGTAGTGTTATTTAAGCCATTACTAGGCCTACAATGAGATGGTGAACCCCTAGTAATAAAAAATAAGAAAAACATAATAAAAATAAAAGAAAATAATTCCTACTTAACTTGTCATGAGAAATTAAGAAGTCCAAAGAGAAAAGCATTGTCCAAAGAAAACTGGGAATATATACTCAGGATTTGGATGTAAGGAGAAGTCAGAGGAGGGATTTACCAGATGCTTTACACCTGACCTGGTTCTGAGACTTATCCACTTGCTTCACTTTTTTATTTTCAGTCACCTTTTAAGAAACCCAAGAAATCTTAAAAAACAAAAACAAACGAACAAAAAAAACCCCAAAAAACAACAAACAAACAAACAAACAAAAAAAAAAAACACTTTTTGCTACATATGAGGTATACTTACAAGCAGTACCTGGGCGAATCTTAAGAATATAGCTTGATGATCTTTTCATATGTAAAAACCTATAAAACTACCATCCAGCTCAAGATACAGAACATTTCCATAGACTCAGAAGCTCCCCAAGTTGCCTTTAAAATCGGTAGACCCCCTCCACACCATGAGATAACTCTTCTGACATACAGCCCCATAGGTTAGCTCTGGCTGTTCTTCAACTTCATATAAAAAGATTTCTCCAGGCCTCTTTTATGCCCAGCTTTTTTTCACTCAGAATGTTTTTGAGATTCATCTAGGTTATTTCATGTATCTATAGCTTGTTCCTTTTTATTGCTGAGGAGTATGAATAAACAAAAGAACAATTTGTTCTTTTTTTTTTTTTTACGGGTATGTATTTGGGTTATTTCTATTTGGAAGCTATTACAAATAAAAGTCTTTAAGTGGAAATATTCATTTTCCTTTTTTATCAGAAACTGCCAAAGTTCTTCAGAGTGACTGTGCCATTTCATATTCCCATGAGTAATGTATGAGCTATCCCATAGCCTCTCCGACACTTGATATTGTAAAAACATTTTGAATTCATGCTATTTTGCCAGAGTATAGTGGCATCGTATTGTGGCTTCAATGTGCATTCCTTCAGAAGTAATTCTATTGAAGCATATTTTCATACCTTCTGGTCAAACGGATATCCTCTTTCAAAAGGTAGTTGTTCAAGTTTTTCTCCATGTAGTGAGTAGACGTGGAGACTATCAAACATGTTTTTATTTCTTTTTAAAAATATTTAGTGAAATTCTAGTTATTATACAATGTAATATTAGTTTCAATATAGTGTACAATAGTGTTCAATATTAGTGTACAAGATAGTGATATTGCATAGGCACCTTTGTTGAAAATCAGGCTCCCTATTCTGTTCCTTGATCTTTTTGTCAAACTTTATGCCAATACTTCACTCTCTTACTTACTAAAGCATTATAGTATATACAGAAACCAGGCAGCATAAAGTTCCCTAACATTCTTCTTCTTTTTCAAAATAGTCTTAGTTATTTTATTTTAGGCTTTGAATTTTCATAGAAATCTTAAAATCAGGAAATACACTCATATCCTTCAAGATTGATATAGCTAGTACAATTCCACGCACGTTGAAGAAATGTTACTTCATTATATATCATGGATGCCTTAGGGAATCGCGGTGTGATTCTCACCTAGAAGCCTGATGGAGAAAAGTTGCTTTACATTAATTTTGGGAAAACTAACATTTTAATAATATTGAATCCATAAATACAGTATACCTTTCTATTTAGTTAGAATTTCTTTCATTTCTTTGGTAATGTTTTATAGTTTTGAGTGCACATATTTTATTTGTTACATAGTATTTCCAGTTTTTTGTTTGTTAGAGTATTTCCAGCTTTTTGATGTTGTAAACTACACTGACTTTTAATTTCAGATTTTAATTCCTCTTTATTTGTACAAAGAAATAGACCTGTTTTGGAGTGCCTGGGTGGCTCAGATGGTTAAGCATCCAACTCTTGGGTTTCAGCTCATGTGATGATCTCAGGGTCAGGGATGGAGTCCTGAGGTAGGGCTCCACTCAGCATGGAGTCTGCTTGAGAGTCCCTCTCCCTCTCCTTTCCTCTTCCCGCCCTGACTTGTGTCTGTGCTAGGGTGCTCTGTCTCTCTCTCTCTCTCTAAAATAAGTAAATAAGATCTTTAAAAAAGGGAAACAGACCTGTTCTTTTCATAGTGACCTTGTATCTTATGATCTCAGTTTTACTACCTTTTTAAAAAAAATCTCTTAGAATTTTCTAGATAATGGCGTTATCTTTTTAAAAAAGAAAAAAATTTCAATGTCCTCCTTTTCAATTAGCATACTTTTTATTTCTTTTATTGTCATTTTGCATGAACTAGCTCCAATAGGGTGTTGATTTAGAATGTTGAGAGCAAACATCCTTGTTTTGTTCCTAATCTTAGAGGTCAAACATTTAGTCTTTTACCATTAAGTAAAATGTTAGATGTAGGTTTTCACAGATACCCTTTTATTGGATTAAATAAGACTAGATTTGTCTGCTGAGAGGTAGATTTTTTTTGAAAGAGTGTCCATTTTTGACAAAATCTTTTTCTGCATCTCCTGAGATTCTTTCTCTGTCTTTCACACACACACACATTAAATAAGCTTGTTTCTAATAAATAAATTGAATTTATATTTTATAACCTTCCAATAAAGAAACTCTAGACTCTGATGAATTCACTAGTGAACTCTATCAAGTATTAATGGAAGATACTAAACCAATTCTAGACAAAACCTTCCACAAAATATAGGAGAGAAAACATTTCTAAACTCATTTTATGAAACCAACATAACCCTGATGGCAAAATCAAAGGCAAAGATGATACAAGAACAAAAAAGTAAAAACCAACATCCTGCATAAACATACATACCCAATTTCAACACAATTGCAAATCACATCCAGCATTACATAAAAAAAGATGATACATTATGTCTAATTGTGGTATATTACATAAACATGTCTATTATTTACTTCTAACTTATTTCTGTTGCAAATGGCAAACACAGTTGGTAAGGACTTATTCCTTTTATATTTATTGA